TCCCTTGTTCCCAACCTAAAGCTTAAAGCAAACCAAAGCAAGGAAAGTATCTATCAAAAATAAATACTTTCAGTGTGGATTCTGTGTAAGTATAAAACTTTTAATTATCATATATATACCTCCTCCTGTGTTCCCTACCTTCCCAAAGAAAGAATAAAAGGAAAATCAACCTGTGATTACCTAATAAACACCAGTACTTGCCTTAGTTAACTACAGGTATCCTGGAGAAGTGGTTCTGAACTGGGGATGATTTTGCCCACCAAGGGCCCTCTGGCAATGTCTGGAAATATTTTGGTTGTCATATTGGGTTGGAGGGTGGTGTGTGTGTTTCTGCTGGTACTTAGTGGGTACAGAATAGAGGCCAGGGATGCTGTTAATCAACCTATAATGCTCAGAACAGCCACCAACACATAGAATTATTTGGCCTCAAATGTCAATACTGACAAGGGTGAGAAACCCTGGTTTCAAGTGATATTTCTAAAACTAAAGATCTACATCACAGAAGTCCACTACTGGGTTAGTCAGGTAGGCTTTTAATATATAAGTTCGAATTCTAATGCATATTTATTAAATAAAGGTCTGCTTCTCTATAAACCCGAGGCAGGAAAACTCAAATGAACAACTCAGTTGAAGGCAAATATTCACTTTTCAAACAAACTTTCCAAAGGATTAATTTAAATATTTACAAGTTTGGATTAAAACCCATCTATTAAAAAGTCAAATTACAGGAACTTTTAAGTAATATTTTTCCACTAGAAAAGATACATTTATAGATGCCAGAAAATAACTTTTCATAATAGCATCGTATGAATAATATCCTGACGTTCCTGAAAGAGATGTGAGCTTCAATCCTTACGCTTAGAGAGGCAGTGCCAGGAACTGAGTGCTGCTGTATCAAATTATCTACTCAACTGTACCCTAACCAGACTGCAAGGTCTGCAATTTCTCTAAATAGCTATGGTGATATTTCAAGATGTGTTATTTTCTATATAATGAGGAGAAATGGTACCAGGTGGGGAAAAACCTAAGCCCAATTATTAGCAGGAAAAAATACAATTGGAAAATTTTTGAATTTGAAGCAATTATGTTGAATACCTCGACCTCGGGATTAAATCCTCTGAATGACATTCTTCCATAGAGAAGATCTTCACATAACAAGAAACTCTGCTCTTCTATTATGAAACTCCTAAATGGGAAATAAACCCACATTAATACCATGAAGCTTGTCTATTTATAACAAAGCATAGCAAATAAAACTCAAGACTTTGAATGGAAAAAATCAATCTGATGGCTTTCAGTAGAATCAAGTAAAACTATACTAAAATTTCTAGCCTAGAGTTAAAGTAAAATCTGATTAATTTGGCCACCAAAGGCACCAGGAGACAAGAGCTGCAGGCTGGAGGCACACAGCCTCTTCCAAAGGCTACATTTCATTTGCATAAATACCTATGGAGTACATAGACCTAACATAGTGTAACAAATGTGAATTTTCCAAAGTCAAGGCAAAGTTTCTTTGATGTTTACATCTTCCCACTAAGTTCTTTTTAAATATCCAGGGGACACAGTGGGAAATAAGAGATGGGGCAGTGTTAACAACGCGTTAGTTGGAGCGCTTAGCTATAAAAGCAAAGACAGACCCTGGATGACATAACCAGAAAAGAAATTTATTGCAGGAATACAGTTGGCCCCCCACAACCATAGGGGACTGGGTTTTAGGACTCCCGTGGATACCAAAATGTATGGGTGCTTAGGCCCCTTATATAAAATAGTGGTTTTGCGTCTGTAGATATACAGGGCTGACTGTACTGAGTATCTCACAGAATGACTGGGAAAGCTGTAAGAACCAAATTGGAAAATGGGCAAAAATAAGGGTGGGTAGGTGGCGGAACCAAAATCAAATATCATGCACAAAGTTGGTGCTGAGAGGGCTAAACAGTGGATACCCCAGAGGGCAGGGCAGGAGAGCAAGCAGTTGGCCTTTGTGGCTTCTTTGGCTGGCTACAGGCTCTGCTTTTTCCTCAAGATTCATTCAGCAAACATTTTTCAAACCAAACCGTGTGCAGGCACTATCCCAGAAGTTGGGGAAACAGCCGTGAATAAAGAGCTGCTGCTCTCAGGGAGGTTCCAGTCTAGAGAGTGGTGCCTGACGACAAGTAGAACTTGTACATCACATGACAGATGGAAATCAGTCAGGTTACCTAATCCCTAGCCATAAGGGTATAACTGGAATCAAACTAGCTCTCCTTCACCACAACTGACTATAAAACAGGACAAAATACAAAACAACTATTTTTGGACGATGAACAAACCTAAGAGAAGAAAATCAAATGGAGTGAGCCCCAAGAACTCAAAGCTTTCCTCCTGGAAGCAATTTCCAGATTGTGAAGCAGGGAGGGGAAGCCCAGAGCACGGTCAAGCTGAACTGAAGAGACAGAAAAGCCTGGGAGTACAGAGGTGGCGAGAACATAGAGGCCAGGATACTAGCCAAAGGGGACACACCAAGGAATGCAGGGCCGCATACTGGATCCCCTTGAATCTTTGGCTGAACACCAAGCTGTGCATTGGTGGAGGGAGTCCACAGCAATAGGGGAAAAATAATTCCAGAAAGATGATTTTCAGAATTCTCTGGTTTCTAAAAATTGCCCTTCATAAAATTAATAAAAGGTTGTAAGGTGAGGTCCGTGGAGGGCCTGACCTCTGCAAAGGTGTGCTGCCGAGTTTGCTCTCCTGTAATTGCTTACTACTTGGAATGGTCATGACAATTCTCAGCTTTCTTCATTGCTCCCACAGATTTAACTTTACCCTCGTAAAACCTAAGGTAATCTTTGAGATATCTTCCAGACCCTGCATTCTGATGGACCAAGAAACCCAACCAAATCAGCAGCCCAAGGATACAACTCAATTGGTCTTTGACCTAGGAACTGACTTAGCACAAGAAGATAATTTCTGCTTTCCAATCCTATTAGTTCATCCCCACCCAACATCAATAGACCCAATTGTTTAGCCTTTTGCTAGCCAAACTATCTTTAAAGTCCCTTTCTCCCAAATTCTTGGGGAGATGGATTTGAGAAATTCCTCCCTTCTCCTCACATGGTGCCTGCAACATTAAGCTCTTTCTCTGCTGTGTCCTCTGCTGTCTGAGTGTATTGGTTTCCCCTTGAGCAGCAGGCAACGAACTTGGCTGGGCTGTAACACTTCCTGTGGCTGCTTCAACCCATGACCACAAAGTTGGTGGCTTACAGCAAGGGAAATCTATGCTTCCAGTTCTGGGGCAAGTGGCACAAAGTGGGGTGTTGGCAGGACTATGTTCCCTCCAGAGGTATTAGGAAAGAATTAATCCCTTGCCTCTCCAGCTTCTCATGGCAGCAAGTATTCCTTGGTCACTACAATCTCAGTCTCTATGGTCACAACACCGCTGTATGTGTCAAATCTGTCTCAGCCTCCCTTATGAAGGAAACACGTGATTATATTCAGGGCCCACTCTGATAATCTAGGATAACTTTCATCTAAAGATCATTAATTTAATCATATCAGCAAAGCCATGTAAGGCACACAGGATCCAAAGATGAGGAACTGAGGGGACTCGGGGACTACTTTCCAGCCTACCACACCTAGGAAAGAAAACTTATTTGGCAACTGTGTGCTGAACAAGTACCAGGGCTTGCATATTGTGGGGGCATGTTTGAGTTCTTTCGAGCCAGAGAAGATAAATCAAGCTGAACACCCTATGATATTTAGCAGAAAGACCACAGACCTAATTCAGCCCTAGAGTAAAAGCTAAGAAACCTATAGTAACAAAAATAAGAACAAGCTAATTGGCATGTAAATTAACATCCCAGTGGAACGAAACACAAAACTCTGTTAAGGAAAATAGTAAGTTCCAGGTAGTCAGCAATGTAACACATATAATGCACAGCACACATAAAAAATTACTAGGAAAGGGTGGTGCCTGTGGCTCAAAGGAGTAGGGTGCGGGCTCCATATACTAGAAGTGGCAGGTTCAAACCTGGCCCTGGCCAAAAACTGCAAAAAAAATCACTAGAAATGTAAGCAAGTGGAAAAATGCAACCACCTATAAAAAGAAGAAAACCAAATCAACAGAAAAAGAGTGATGACGGAATTAGAAGGAAAGAACTTTAAAATGGCTATTAAAAACATGCTCAAGAGATTTAAGTGAAAATATGAACAAAATGAAGATGCAAATAGGGACCTTGGATTAAAAACTGGTAACTTGAAAAAGCACCAGACAGACATTCTTGAGCCGAAGAAAACATTATCCAAAGTAAAAAACTGAAATAGACTTCTATGTACTAAAGAAACCGACTTCATTACTAAAAATCCTTCCATAGTGAAAAGTTCAGATCCAGATGACTTCCCTGGTAAATTTTACCCAACATTTAAGGAAGAAATAATATCACCTTTACATAAACTAAGAAATGAAAAAGCTGGAACACTTCCCAAGTCATTTTATGGCCCAAACCATAAAAAATGCAAAAAAGATCTATAGGCTAATATCTTTTATAACTACAGATGCAAAAATCATCTTAAGAATTAGTAATATATTAGCAAATTAGATTTAAAAGGTACATAAATACTACAAATGAAGACCAAGTAGGATATATGTCAGAAATACAATATTTTGATATTCAAAAACAATATAATTCCCAATATACTGACAAAATAAATAAATTACACTTTTCTCATCAAAAATGATTTGACAAAGTTCAACACCATCTATGATGATAACCCTTGGCAAACTAGGAAAAGGAAGAAATATCTCTTCAGAAACGATGCTAGGATGTTCCCTCTCATCGCTTCTTCCCACTAAAGATCCCCTATTATTATCATCAGAGACATAATGGACTAGAGTCCTTAATTCACTGTAAAAAAATCATCAATGTTATAAACAATGGCCAGGGGCCACTAAAAATGTATAAATTTGTGTAGAACTTTTATAGGTTTAATATTTTTTAGAAAACTATTTGTGAGGCTAACTCAAGAAACTGAAAGGAAACTATTTTATGGGCTTTATGTCACTGGAATGTTAAGTTAAATTTACAGGGATTTCCCCCTTGATGTCCCAAGCATGATCAATACAAATTCTACTAAACGTACTCTTTCTCTGTCAGGGCTGGCAAGTCCAAGTACCAGTGCTCTTCACCAATGATTTTCTTTTCTTCCTCTTCCAGTTGTTTCTTGGTTTCTGAATCCAGTCCCCTTTGCATGAACTGTCAAAACCAAAACAAAATCAGTGTCAGCAACAAAATTTTCTCATCTCAGAGGTCAGGACACACCCCCACCCCCCAACATTCTTCTTCCTCCTGCTCTTCTTCATTTTTCCAAGGATCCCATTTCATGATGGGGGTGGGGAGGGTGCTCAAACAGTTTGGCTCTCCCCTTCCAGCTTCACACCAGAATATGAAGGACTGTGTCAGAACACACAAAAAAGTGCAGTGTGTGCTTCCTTTGGAACAATAAAAAAAAATCTCTAACATATTTTAGTTATTCTAAGTTAGTGACACAGGCAATAAAAAATTGCATTCTGCAAGTATCAGACTAGATATTGTAGTTTCACATAATGGGCCATGTGGAAGGGCTAAGAAGACCAAAGAGGAAGAAAAGTGGACAGTAGGATAGGCAGGTGGAGACTGAGACTGAGAGTTGGGCAGACATCAGACTAGAGCAGTGTTCTCAAACTTCCTAATGCCGTGGCCCTTTAATATAGTTCCCGTGGGTCACAACCCAGAGGTTGAGAACCGTTGGACTAGAAGGTGAAAGGACCTTCTCCATCACCTGCTCACTCATGGAGTCCACTGCCCTCTGCACCTACAGATCGTGCTTTGGAATGCCCCTCTTATCCTCTCCTCTCCCAGCTGGCCAACCTGTAGCCCTTCTGATGTAGGTAAAGCTACTCCACCTCTGTGAAGCCATCCCTGACATCTGCAAGCAATATCAGTGCCTCTGTGGCTCCCTCCAACAGACTCACATCTTATTCTCTGAGCATCTGTCTCTTCTGGGAACCAGTGATGCACACCAAGAGCTACATCTAGAAGCCTGCTCTTCTTTCATATCTAACCTCTAAAATCCTGGTGAACTCTTGGGCTGCTTTTTATTCTCACTGCTCCCAAAATACACCAGTGGGAAAGACCCAGCAGTTCTGCTGCTAGTCTCCCTTCCTAGCACAAATAATAGCTATATTTCCTTGGAGGATGGACAAACAAAGAGGTTAACCACAGCGAACTGCAAATGTGTAAATACTGAAGAAAGGTAAATCAGAAAACGCCTAGGAACCTCCTAGCAGTCAGGTTTAGGGTTCCACTGGTTTCCATATACTATATTCTCGTTTCTTTCCCTTTTTGGTGCCCAAAATTTCTTCTCTCTCCATTCTAGCTCTTCCCAAAAGAAATGCAAGCCTTTTTAGGCATAAGAGCTTTCCCAATAACTACTAAGTAAAATGACAAAACCTCACCAATGCTCACAAATAAAACAGCCATAAGCCACATAACAAAGTTTTGGTCAACAACAGAATGCATATATGTAATGATGGTCCCATAAGATCACAATGCAGTATTTTTACTGTACCTTTTCTATGGTTAGATACACCAATACCATTGTTACAGCTGCTTCCACCCCCAGGAAGACTGAAAACAAGTGAGTAAGGATGAAATTCTCAACCTCGCATGCTTGTCCTTTACACTACTTAGCTCTGGCTGGATAGCTATGCTGGCTATGACACTGAGTGTGGCTGTTCTGGCTTTCTCAAGGTGTACTCTGTGGTCAGTATACTTGGTGTCTCTCCTGTCAGTTAGTTCCTTCGCAGTGAGAGTTTCAGTTTTCAGTCTGAGTAGCTGCTAACCCAAATAGAGAACCCAGGTGACTTTTCCCTACTCTCCTTTGCTCCCAAGGTCCAGGTGAATCTCCCCCACTTGGGTGGGGGTGGATAACTGTTTTAAGCTAATTTCTTCTTTCTTAACTCCAGAGGCAGATCTTTAGTCTGAATCCCAATCACCCAGCACATCACTTGGCTTATACCAAGAGCTAAAACTGCTAAAATCTTTTCAGTGCCTGCCCGACCAATCCACTCCAGTTCTCTGAAACCCATGTGATTACAAACCATTAAACCAAAAGCAAACTATGTTCAGTAAAGATTCAAATTTTGCTAAATGCATGAAAGAGGTACTTACAAATTAAGTTAGGCCGCAATTTGCCCTCCATGCTCACTCATCTTATTTATTCCTAGGTCCATCCTAGCTCAACTCCTTTCGAGTGTTTTTTCTTACAGACTTTATCTTAGAAAGAGGGAGGGAGAGAGAGAAAGAGAAGAAAGTGGGGGAAGAGACAGAGAAGAGCAGGGAAGGGAGATGGTGTGGGACCCTAAAGGAAGAAAAAGGAAGAGTGCCCACTCCATTCAAATCTTGCACATGTAATGTTTACTCTCCAATTTTCCCAAGCATTACTTACACCTTCTTTCCTTCTCTTAGAAATTCCATCTCTCTAAACACATCTAACAGTTTGACTCTTTCTGTTAAGCAGTGTTCAGTGACAAGCAGTACAGAGTGGTAATAAAGAGCTGGGCTAAGTTCTGGTCTTCTCTACACTATATTTATTAGCTGTGTAACTTTGGGCACGTTACTTCTGTTTCAGTTGCCTCAGCTGTTAAAAAAGGGATAATGACTGTAGGCACCTTAAAGGGTTATTATGTAAATTTATAGGTTAACATATACAAAGTGTCTGGCACTAGCAGGGATATAGAAGTTGGCCGCTTCTGAGCACTGTTCCCCATGCTCAATAGTTTCCACTGCTCAGGAGAGAAAGGAAAATATCCTGAACTTGGACAAAAATTCTCTGCTTTTCCAGCTCCATTTCTTGCTACTTGCCTTCCAGACACACTGTCATTTTTTGTTTTTTGGAAATTTCCATGTTTCTCCTTCCTTTCTCGCCTCTCATACTTCTCAGTTTGCTTTCTCCTTATTTGAGGACGCTGTGCCTCCCACCCTCTCCCTGACTCTTCAAACTCTAGTGAAGTAAGTAACACTACCTGCGAGGAGCACCAGGCCTCCCAGCGCTTCTGCCACCACTGCACTTAGGATACGGTGTCTTTACAGTCTGCTTCTGTGCGTGCAAGCTCCAATCCGACCCCAACCTTCACCACAGAGACTAATTTATAAACTGGTTCCCAACGCTTAAAGCAGAGCAGGCAGTAAGTGAATGAATGAACGCAAGCTGGATGCCCTCTGGAGCCTCTCTGGTGTCCCCCGTGCGCCCACCGCCTCGGCCCCGGCAAGGCCGAGAGGACTGGGTACCTTTACCACCCGGCCTGGCTCCCAGAGAGTTCTCGCACCTTCATGCGCAGCAGGTTCTTGGACAACTTGGTCTTCCGCTCGGCCGCCATGGCTGATGCAGCCCAGCGCGGCACTCCAGCCACGTACTCCGCTGCACATGCGCGCTGCCGTGTGCGTAGTCGCACTGCCTACGTAACGCGCGACCCACCCCGCGCTCCGCCCCCTCAGAGGCCCCGCCCCCCGTCTCCCGCTCGCGCGCTTCCTTGGCTCCTCCCGCGTCCCCTCAGAGAGCACTCGGCTGACAGACCCGCTCTTGGTAAAAGGGCGGTCCCCGGCTCGGAGATGACAGCGGCTTCCTGCCAGTGGGCGGACCCCCGAGAGGTGGGAATTGGAGCAGGCCCGCGAGCCCGGCCGCTGCCAGGAGTGGGGCACCTCCCCCGGGGCGTCGGCCCCTCAGGAACCCCCGTCCGGCCGCGCCTCCCGGGCTCGGCGTCCTAGCAAAGCCCTGGAAATTGTCGCCGCTCCTGCCGGCTGCCCAGACGTTGTTAAGTGTGTTGGACGTGGGTGGCGGGCGCCTCCGCTCTGGGTCGTTTTGCCTCTGCGGGGTGGTTTTATGTCTCCTCAGACCGGTGAGGCGGTCCTGTCTTCAGACTGGCCCGGAGTTACAGGAGGGAGGTGGCTGGAAGCCGGAGTCCCCCAGAAACACTGCTGAGCGCGAAGGAAAGCGGGCGAAGTCCTCACTTTGACAGACTTTGTGCCCGAAAGACCTCAGTTTAGTAGGAAGCATAGCCAGGGGCAGGGAACACGTGTGCAGGAGGAGGGGGCCCTGCTTAAATGTAAAGAATCGAAAAACACATTAAAATCAAAGTAGCTTTAATGCTCCGTGTCCCATCGAAAGACATTGCTCAACCAGGGGTCCTCAAACTTTTTAAACAGGAGGCCGGTTCACTGTCCCACAGACCATTGGAGGGCCGCACTGTGGGCTCCGGGACGATGCGGCTGCTAAGCAGGACAGGCAGCGGCGGTAAAAACACCCGGCGGGCCGGATAAATGTCCTCGGAGGGCCGCAGTTTGAGGACCCCTGGCTCAAACCATTTCCAGGTCACACACTGGAAAAGCCCCAACCTAGTATGATTTCAGCTGCTGGAGTGCTGTGGGTCGGGTTCTCCAGCCTGACACTTGGTGGGGAGGGGGGTGTTACTGACTCCTGGCAAGAAT